AATAGGGAAAAAAAAATACATGAGTCATGGAGCTGCTGTATTTACAGATGGTCCAAATGTGAAAATCCATAGTGCTTCCAATAGCGTGGCTATAGAACATAAGCTCATTCAGGGGTGACTGCATCTTAATGACTTTGAAGTGCATTAATATCTATGAGCAGTATTATTGACAGGCATTCAGCCATCAATTCTGTGAAATTATTGCCAGGCAAGAGCAGAGTACAAATAGTACAGGATCACTTTTATAGACAAAGGCAAGTAATAACAACAGTGCACAAAGAAGGTGCCTATTACCACCCATGCCCTGATGTTAGAAATTCCTGTTTCTATGAAAGATATAGGAAAGGTAATATGGCAAATCTTTCTCCCCATGAATATAAGTATCCAATAGAGAAAGAAAATATCCCTGGAGAATGGTTATCTGGTAAGGAACTTTTTGCTGGAAAACATGTGTCTGTAGATCCAGGCTTTTGTAGGCCATGGAGATTGATGTCAATTTGTCCATGATCCACTTAAGGTTCCTGTTAACAGTGGCTCATATCCCCGCTACTGCCATCCCATCAGCATTAGCACTTGGGAGCCTAATCAGCTTACAGATGGGAGACTAATGCTGCTCAAAGAAACAACTTACGTCTTGATGTGTGCCATGTGCCTCACTGCCCTCAGAGGTGACTGCTTCCAACGCACAATCAACACTGAATTCCAGGAACTATCACACACTCAATGTTCCCCATGTTGGAGGCCAGGAACGAGCCAAAATTAACATATTTGAAACTATGTGTGCATAATTACATGTACAAACAACAAATCCTTGGAATTTGCAGATCCCCAACACAGCTGTTCTCAGGCACTCTCTTATTTACACTGGAATGAGCTTTTCCAGGCAAGGGTGAAGCCACAGGACTCTGATATGTGATGTTGATGGTGCACTTGTCCAAGCCTGAGCTGGAATCTCAGTACACCACCAGGTCTGACACTTGCTGTGCCAGGGCTGTCCCAAACCAACTCAAACTCCTGATGGTAGAGCTGGACCTAGAGGGAGCCTCAGACCCTGAGCATCTCCACCAGAGCATATCCCTCTCAGCTGCCCACTGAGTTCCCCTCCCAGGCAAGGACTGCAAGTGGTTTGTTGCAGGAGGTGGGCAGACACTTGCAGAGCTGTGAGGTGCCCAGAGAAAGGGTCAAATGCACTGTTACAAATACGTAAGCTTGGCATAAAAGAAGCTCGGTCTCATTTGTTTCCACTCCCGCAGCTTTCCTTTCCCACAAAGAACACAGAGCCATACCCTGATTAATTCAACACAACACCAGCAGAACACAGCTGGATGTCATAGTCATAGGCTGTTTATTGGGATGCCCAGTTGGATATTAGCCTACAAACTAGACCTGACAGATGCATATTGGTATAGGCAAACTGACTAATGAAGTGTTGCCTTCTTGTTACCTGCTGGATTGTTCTCACACTCACAAGCATTGTGTGGTAGCATGGGGCCAAGAGAGACAGGACACCTGCTCCTACCCTACCTTTGGTCTGTCTGTGACTCCAGGCAAGTTGCTTTGATAAAATGCTTCTAGTTCTTCTAGTTTTCCCTCTTACCAGTTTTTTTCCCATATTCAAATGTAAATTTTTCTGTGAATGATACAACTGTACTATGAGTTAGAGCAGTACCCAAGTCCTACTCTAATGACTTTGGCAGCAATTAACAAAAATCCTAAAATAGTGTAACAGTCCACCCAGGATTTTGAACTTTTCCATAACAAATGTGTTTTTCATTATGTGTAAAATTCAATCACTTCTTTCACTTAGTTAAAAAATAACAAAGGAAGAAAATAATCACTATTATTGCACTAACTTTCCTCTTATTTACATTAGTTCTACAAATTCTTGAGATCAGCAGAGCTGTGCCTGATTTACATAATTTAAGTGAAAAGGATCAAACTCTGAGACTCTAGAAGCAATCCAGCCACAGAACTGGATAATCACATGAAATTTCTATGGCAACAAGGAGAAAATTGTTCAGCCTACTGTCTGGGTATTTTCACTCTGTGTATATGAGGGAGTGCTATGTCAGAGACAGGGAGAGAGAATATTTAACACATAATCAATTAAATATCACCTTTGGTCCAGTCAGTTGTTTAGAAACATTATCTTGGCATTTAGTGAATTATTTTTCTCATGGGCTGAGAAGGTGCCTGTTTATATTCTGTAAGGAATGATTAAGTTAGACATTCCTTTTCTTCCTATGAATGAATGATGAAAAATGGATTTGGTATTGATTGGCCCACTTACTAATGCTTCTGAATCTCTGTAGAAGATTAGCTCTTCGTGAAACTGTAGCCCTGGAGAGCATCATCCCCATGCCTGACCTAGCAACATTTTCCTGTCAGGCACAACACCATGTTTTGCATTGCCTCCATGTGACTACTTAAGGAAGAAGCAGGAGGAGGGGGCTTAGAGACTTTCATAACCTTTAACAGCTCTCACGTAAGGAGAAATGCACTCTATGCTCTCCCTACTGCAGGGGTACCCAGTGCTGTGTCATCTTGTCTCCCCTCAGCATCTCAGTCGCATGCAGGAAATTACTCCTCATGTGCAGCAGATAAACTGTTGCACAGATGTCACTCCTTAATGCGCACTAAGGAAGCAGCAAACAAATTCCTCAATGTGTAGTGCTACCAGCTTCCCCTTCTGAGAAGACACAGACCTGTGGCATGGTCAGACCTATGCCTTAGCTGAAAAGCTCAGTTAGAAGCTGAGTAGATGCTTACCAGGACCACTGAATGGGTCAGACAGCTACAGTGAATTCTGTGAGGTTTGTAAAAGGCTCACAGTACTGATTAGGGCTCTAACACAACATGAATTTAAGGGCTGATTGACACCAACTTGATTGATGCCACAACTCTGTGGCTCAAGATCCAATCTAAACCTAAACATATGCTAAAATTGCATGTAGCATACAGACCTACATCTTCCTATTGAACAAATAGCAGGTTTCACAGTATATGGAACTGAAATTAAAATTTGTCTGTGTAGACAGAAAACCAGTTTGGTAATATCCAGATCTTTTCACAGTTCACCCAATGGAACAATTCCTTAAAATCGGGAAGACTGTCTTATGATAAGATACAATCAATAAATACTGCTAAATGTGGCTGAATTTGACAATAATGTGTTTCAAAACTGCATACTGGTAAAAGCAAGTTGACTAGGTTATATATGGATGCTTTATAAAACCATTTCTATGCACAAAGAGAATAGCTCATGCAAAACAAGTGATTCTATATTTTGTGGCATTGTCATTTGCGTGTTGCTTTGCTGGACATTATCACCTAGACTGTGCAGGCTAATTTGGAGACACAACCTAGAACTTGTAAACTGCCAGACACAGAAATGTGTGTAAAAAATCCTTGTTTTGTTGCCATGCAATCAGCATTGACAGAAAATGCTATAATCCCCCAAGAATAGCATTGCAATGTAATACAATCAAGTACTTAGCACTACTAGCACCTATCCTTCTGTATATGGTTTTAGGCATCCTAATTATGTGATGTAAATTACCTCTGTGCAAACTTGCAGTGCTTTACAAAAGATTTTCAATAAATACTAATAATGCTGCTGAGAATATTGATAGCTCGCTACTGAGACAGAGCAAACATCTCCTAGCCCTAGTTCTGATCCTAATAGCAATGCAGCAACATCTGTTTTTCAAATTATATATTACTGCCCAATAAAAAAGTTTTGTTTCTGTTAGCCTAGAATGTAGATCAGAGAATCTACAGCTATGAAATGACACCTGAACAAGATCTATAGCTATTAAGCCATTTCTGGGATAAAATTTTTCCAAATTCTGAATCAACTGTCTACCAGCAATGCCCTGGAGTGGAGGGAGCTGTGACATGATTAAAGTGAATAAATAAAGTGAACAAGCTAACATACATTTCACTTTAAATAATAATAATCAAGCATCAGGGTCTGACAAACTAAGCTGAATATATGCCTGGGACTCAAAAAATTCCCATCGTTTAATTGCAGTCTTCTTGACTCTTTTCCCTTGCTTTTAAGTTTCTCAATTTTTCTTTGTACATTATTTCAAACAGTATAACAGCAATTTAACACAGGGCCATTACTCTTCTGGAAGTTGTTTAAAGTACTGCCAAATAGGCACATTTCTGGTGCAGCTTCCTTCATATGTATCATTCCTCAATGTACTTCTACACAATAGTTAAATCTGCTTTCACTGAGACAGTGCTCTGCCTCATGGTGGCATCTGGACTATGTCAGGATAACCACTGTCAAGGATCAGGTTGTCACCACATGTGGCACTGTATAGTCCATTCTGAGGCTAAGTGGTGGGGAAATAAATAGCTGTGGTACAGGAAGGACAGATACTGGGTTACAATTTTCTCAGCCATCACCAGCTGTTGGAATTGGTAAGCACTGGTGGGAAAGCAATTGCTTTGGTGCTGGCTGGTGAGGAAAGAGGCAACTTGATGTTACTGGAATTTTTCCCTGGTTCACACAATCAAAACAGAGAAAGCAGAGTTCTGCTCTAAAATTCACAAATGCTCTTCCTGCAGAGTCTCTAAACAATGCTGAGGGGAAAGAGGCTGCTAACTGAGTGCTGCTCTTTTCCTTATGTATAGTACAGAAAATATTAGATTTAAACAGACTCAAATCACAGGCTGGAATTCAGACACATGGTTGTCAGCCTTCACAAAGAGAACTCAACTGACTGCGAAGCCATAACAAACACAATTGTGGACAAGTCAAGATCTGATGCTGAATGTGTAGGATACACAAAAGTGCTACACACTGGCACTACATTTTCCTGGTTCTTTACAGGAAAAATGTCAGGGGAAGAGTTTCAAAATCAGTCACTGAAACAGAGCTGCCTTGGCCTTACCTCAGCCCTTATTTGAGCAATTTCATTTGCAAAATTGTCAAGTATTCTGTAGCCCTGGCTGATCCCATGAAATAGGAAAAAAATATGGACACTCAGTTGCTCTGAAAGAATCATAATATTTACTACTCATTAGACAGAATGTGAGTTTACATAACCAATTTGCAAATATTAAACTTAATTTTGCAATGGCACAAAAACAAGCATGTTTAAGGCACTACCATTTCAACTGGTTATTGTTACTCCACATGAAATCTAACAGCATGCTCCTTAAATGCAAAGCGATATACATTTCCTCATCCATGAGATGATTAGCACAGTTGGTTAGAACGTGGTGCTTATAACATCAAGGTTGTGGGTTCAGTCACTGTATGGGTCATTCACTTAAGAGTTGGATTTGATGATCCTTGTGGGCTCCTTTCAACTCAGAAGACTCCATGATTCTGCAATGTAGAAAGGTCTTTGAAGATTATCATTGCTGTGCTGCACCTTGGATGCCTTTCTGAGCACCTGAGCATAACAAAAGTTCCTGCATAAGGCGTACTAATAGGCAGACTTTGTCAGGCTTTGAAAAACCTTCTCCCTTTATTTCAGTTAGCACAATAAATATACAGATTTATTAAAACAAATGGAAGTGTGATAGAGATCTCATCACATCACATTCTTGTTCAGCAGCTGAACAAATGCCATACAAATTCAGCATAGTCCACATTGCTTGCACAAGTATGTCTCTGCTGACAATGTTCCAGCTGTCTCACTAATGCAGTTATTTGGAATTTACTTACATTTCATATTACTTCTGGACAAATAGCCCTGGACCAAGAAGTTCTCTGGATCCTCTCTGAGTGTTTGATACAACAAAAGACTGAGCATTGCTGAGGCTGAGCCCTGCAAAGTGCTTGTCATAAAGTATGTGTTCTATTTAGCATGTCAGGGGAGCAAGCCCCACTCACAGTCACCTTCTGTAGCAATGATGAGTGCTACTTCTTACCCATTCTACAAGAGAGCAGTTTCTACTAAAGCCAATGCTAGCTCCACTTCCTCCACAGACACCAAACATGGGAGGTCAAGATCTATGAATAGAACAGATCACAGCATCTCCCTGAGAACTGAGAATTTCAAATCAGTGGTAGCATTAATATTTGACTCTGAGTCTACAAGCAACAAACCTGACCCCAGGAGCACAGTAACACAAGCAATCCTGTTCACTGTAAATTAACTTCCTGATTCAGTATCACCCAGCCAGCCCTAAACTGCCACCACAAGCACAAAGGGGTTATATACATTTGCCTTCCCATTTGTGGGAAAGTTTATTACAGCACCTTGTATGCACTGGCACAAAGGAAAGATTATTCTCTACAGCCCAGTCTGGATTTTAATAAGTTCTGTAACTAATTTTGCAATATTTACTTTTTTAATATAGTCAGCATCTGACAAGCCTTGTTTTGTTTGCATTTGCATATATTTTCCTTTGATTGGTACCATCCTGTGGCCCTTTCTAGGGGCCAGAACATGGAGTAAATCCTCCCAAGAAGAAAGGACCTCACAATCTGCACTTTTAATGACACCAATGAATTTATTTACTTTGTTCACAGCATAATAGTTTTCTAGAGTAATTTCTTGATCCTGATATCATAAGAACACCTCCAAAAGCTTTAATCCAAATGCCAGAAATGAAACCCAAATGAATTTCAGTCACATTTTTTCATCTGTTTAAAGCAAGATTCTATTAGCCAATGCTAACATGCATTCATAAATTTGGATGGGCCAAAATTTCATCATCAGTGTTTATGTGCTTTTTCACATCACAAAAGATACTGACTGTCAAATTCTAAAACATTCATTTATGTCCTATCCTTAATTTGCCAAAGCTACTGAGCAATGTAATTATCCAAGATCAAAAACTGTTTTGCTTTCTTTAAAAATTGAGCAGGGCGAGAAGTCATTCAAAAAAATCATCAGTAATTTAAGCCACACAATACAGGCAAAACAAATTTGTCTACTTGCAGCATAAACAATTTTTCAATAGCTCTATCTGTATACTTGGAAAAAATAAAACATCCCTGACCTGGCTTTTACCTCTCCCTGGTACAACAGGTTATTGAAATGTTAGATGTCTTCACAGCTCCCTCTAAAGTGAAGCCTTTAACCTTTAAAGTGTTCTTTCATATGTCTGTTCTTGACCTCATGGAGTAAACCAGAACTAAGTCAATCTCTAGTCCTTCTAAAAAAAGTTAATATAATTAAACATATAGGTCTTTCATTACTCATCTAATTCAAGAATCAATGAACAATTCCTTAGGAAACTATTTGTTGATAGCTTTCATAATGTTAAAACAGAGCTTGACTACAAGAGCCACAAATGGGGGCAAACTTACCTGAGTAATAGATGAGATACAAGAAAATCAGTGAGGCCTGTTAAAAAAAAAAAAGTCACAAGGAATTGAAAATGTAGATAAGTTAAAGTTCTTTGAGATAAAGTAGTTCTTTTTGTAGATAAAGTTCTTTGAGTGTCTTCAAAGTCTGCAAATTCTTCATTTCTCCACATTATTTTAAAACTTAAACATTCATTTCCATCTGTATTGTTTATGTAAAAATACAGCTGTAGAAAGTAAATGTCATTACAAGAAACAAGGTGGGAAAAGACCAAACACCCTAAGAACACAAAACAGTAGTTAGCTGAATTTCTCAAAATGCTGGCTTTCATGTAGGGGAGAAAAAGGCTCAAAGTTCCCTGACTTTTTCCTTTTTTTTTTTAGTTTAAATTACTTGTTGCACATTATAGTTGATCCAAAGTTTTCAGCCTCTGGGAGGAAAAAAAAAAAAAATCAACATTATAAAGCAATACAATTTCCTTCTTGTACAAACTCCTATGCTGTATATTATTGAAATATTTAGCTAAATTATCATGAGCTGCTGTTCAAAACACATATCTTTGTATTGAACCAAAGTAAAAAAGCTAATTTTACCACAAGTCACAGATTTTGCTTCAGCTGCTACTAGCCAATGCTCCAGCTCCTAGTACTGATGCCATGATCATGAACATGGATGCTGCTGTTGCTGAGGCACTGCTTAAAAATGTGGCTTTCTACAAGACCCACCTTGTAACTCAAGCACTCTGCTTTGGCTGGTTCCTCACCCAGCCTCCTCTCAGGGGTTTAAAATCGAATGCAGTTGTCAACACACAGGCACACCTGCCTGAAGCAATCAGACAAAAATCAAGGGAAAAACAGAGTCAGGTGAACCAGACAGGGCCATTTTGGGGAGCAAAAGGGGCAGCCCCAGTGGACAGCTTTTTGTTTGGTTTTCATTAGTCCTTCCTTTGCTGATCCTGTTTGCAGAGAATAAAAGCATTGAATTCACAGTCATCAGGCTCAGCCTTTTGGGATGCACCCTTTGGCCCACTGAGAGAGACACAGGAAGTTCAGGGAAAACTGTTGTGTCTTCTCAGGGATACTATTCAAATGAGAACTGCTTTTATAATTAATTTAGGAGATTTTTTTTTTCCCCTTTTCCTTTTCTTCCCAACAGTAGTTAGTTGCTATTTTCACCACCACCTAATTACTTAGTACTGGTTTGTGGGAGGATTCAGCTTCACACAGCATCCCACACAGGTTGTCATTTTGTCAAGAATTCCTTCATTAACAAGCTGTCAGTACCCTGCCAACAGCCACCATTTGGTTTGTTAAGGGACTGGGGGCTCTGGAGTGAAGATTTGGCTCTGTACCCTTTCCTTTTTGTAAAAAAAAAATAAATAAATAAAGCAAGAGGCAGATGTCTGCCAGTCTGTTCCTTTGTGACACATTGCAGCCTTTTCCCTTCTTTTTTTTCTTTTTTTTTTTCCTTGCTGAAAGAGCAAGGCAGTAAAGGAGAGAAAGGAAAATCACACAGACTGCGTGGGTTGCAGCTGAAGCTCCAGTCTCCCTATCAGGCTGCTTCCTTGGGAAGTTGTCTGGGTGCTCTTTGCTCCACACTACCTCCCAGCCCCACATGCCCTCTGACATGCTCCAACTTCAGCGTGTAAAGGAAAGCTCTGTAGGAACACAGGCACCGTTTTACCTGCAACCTTTAAAACAATAATCCTAATGAAATATAAAGACAGCCTGACCATCACATAGCTGCTTTCAGAGGAGTTTGTCCTTTCCAGCTAATTAACTGGATTAGCACAGATGCTGACAGGCTTTGCCAGGTACTCCTATCACTACTCTTTTGAGATTGTAGTGATTAAGGATAGCTTTGTGCATCTTCCCCCTTGAAAGTCCGACTATATTTGCACAGTCATCTTTTTTTTTCTCCTATTAGCTCCCAAGACCAAATCTCAGCTTAATTTCACTGATTAGTTTTTGATTGCACTGTGCCTACCAGGTAGAGTTTCAAGGTTAGCACAGATGCTGAGAGAATTGGGGCATTTGTCCATTGTCTTGGGCATTTCCGAGAACCTGCTGTTGCAACCAAGTTTCAGCTATGTCAAGCAGGAATTTAGCTGGGTTGGCACAGATGACTGAAAATTAAAAGGCAGACAGTGGGACAGGGAGCAAAGAGCAATAGGGGTCTCTGTGGTATCCAGAAATTACAAAAATAAAGGACTGTTCAAAATGACAGGGGATGAAGTAAGTGTTGTCTCTGGAGGTCTCCCTGGCAGGTTTTTGGTCCTTACAGGCCAGTGAGGCTGTCATTACGTTCAGAAGACACTCAAAGGAATTTAGGAATCAGACTTTTTTTTTTCCTCCCTTTGTTCCTATCTAACATGCCTTAACTGTGTGGTAGACCCTCCTGTCAAATCATGTGTACAAGAGTCATATCTGTACACAGAACACTGATATTTATTTGCCAACGTCTTATGCATATTTAGCTACCTACAAATACAGGTTTAAAATGCACCCAGACAAACATTTCAGCTTATGTTAAAAAAAGAGTGCAAAGGTGGTTATGCCCCTATAATTCTAGGAAACAGAGAATTATGACAAGGATCAATCACAATTATACAACTTACACAATCACAATTATACAAAATGTATCTCTGAAAGTTGTGATTGCTTTGCTTATAGATACCTTTTGTACAAAAGTGTCTGGATCATGAAGGAGGTTTTATAATATTCAAGTACAGTGTAAACACAACTATCTGGATAAGAAAAGCTCTCCTCTTGTCAACTGAAATAGATCCCAAACATAATTTCTATAGAATCCAGATGAATAGAGTAAGGGTATAAGTAGAAATTAAGAGAAACAGGTTGGATGCAGTTTGTGCAAGTCATCCTCTCTGGTTATACTCTGTCTTTTATCCTCTCTTCCCATCTTCTTTTCTTTCTTTTGTTGTTTGCTTATTTAAAGGTTTGTTGTTTTTTTTTTTTTCTGCTGTCATTTCATACAATACTGGAGAGTGTAAATGTGGGATAAATAGAACCAGCTGGGAGATGCTTTGATAACCAGACAGTATGCACCTTGAAAAACATGTGTGTTTAGAGATAGATAGATAGATAGATGATAGATAGATAGATAGATAGATAGATAGATAGATAGATAGATAGATAGACAGACAGACAGAGATATGCACACCTTGACCTCTGCAGATTTTTTAATCTCTTTGGGCCCCTTCAGGCTGTTGCCTCCACTGGATTAGCTCAAAGCTGAGCACTGGTGATCCCGCTGCCCTCCCTGGTGACAGCAGCCAAAGGCCTCCACATGGGTATTGTCCCAGGGCACATGTGACAGGAGTCTCTTTATAGCTCTGAAAACCTGCTAGAACTATTCACTCTGTATTTTAACTTATCAAAACCCGAGTTCTCTATTTTCCCTGGGTATTTTTTCTGTACTTGTTCCCACATTAGAGAAATTAGACATAGGATCATCCCATGTCATAACCAAGGAATTTTGTCCTTGTGCCTCTCAAGGTAAAAGGTCTTCCTAAAATTTGGTTAGCAATTTTGAGATAAAAACTTTAAATAACACACTGTAGTCAGGGGAAGCAGAGAGAAAACAGAGGCTTAAATTTCAGGAGGCTTCAGAATCTTGCAAATGAGAAAGAATCCTCAGTTGATCACCATTTACCTGCCTCTATATTCAAGAGGAGTGAAAATGAATCCAAGATATCTAATAAATTATGTTTAGAACAGAGCCAAGCTATGTGTTTACCGGGTCCCAAATGACATGTTGTTAGAAGAACTTCAGGAGAAGATATGTCCACACAGTCAGTACTGGGAAAACTAAAGCAGTAGCAAGCAGGGTATGACCCAGAATACAGCCTGCGGGATGATTCTTTATCTACAGCAATTTCCATGAGTTAAATGCAGAAAATAAAAATTGAGACAGGTTAAAAAAGAGGAGTACTGAACAATCCTGTGCTCTGTTGCAGACAGAATCACCTACATTTTTAAAGTGGTACTTGACAATCTGTCCGTATGGTTCCCATATACTTTAATGGGACTCAGGCAGCCAAATTCCTTATGCAGCACTTCAACAATGCTAAAAAGCATGCCAGGCTCTACACCCACCATTTTTATTTGCTGCAGAGCATTAAGAGATCAGCTGGATCTTAAATGTTCCCATTATAAATATGTTTCCTTGAACAACTGAGAAAAGAGGGACTGAGACAGAGAAGTTACTGGCAAGACCAAGACCCTGGCAGACCACAATACTGCTGCACAGCAAGTATCATCAAACACTAATGTTATTTAGGCATGGGCAGGGCTGGAGATAAAGTAAAATACCTGTTCTTGTCTTTCAAAGCACTATTAGGAATGTATTGATCCATTTCAACAATAAAATAAAATAAAATAAAATAAAATAAAATAAAATAAAATAAATAAAATAAAATAAATAAAATAAAATAAAATAAAATAAAATAAAATAAAATAAAATAAAATAAAATAAAATAAAAATAATATTTGTCATTACATCCTGGATTATTTCAAAGTCTCAAATATAGGGATTTTCATATAGGGTTCATTGAGATCATTATTTGTGCCTTAAAACAGCTATGCTTCTTAAGTGTCTGTGTGGACACAGAATGACAACATGCTAAAAATGTTTAGAACACCTCAAAAGAGTTTTTTTGTATTGCATTGAGCAACCAGTGCCCAGGAATATCTCCCTGTTTTGGTGAAGAAAAAATCCCCAAAAATTAGCATAGTCTCCCAACTGGATGAATGTTTACTTCTTCTTGCATGTTTTCTGGCTTATGAAAACTCCTTTTTTCTGACTCCTGTTTTTAGGATGCCAGCCATGTTACTAGACATGAGCAAACTCTTCTACTAAGACAAATCTGTCCCTGTGAGCTTTAATAAAGCAATGTCAACTTATGTTGATTTTAATTGTGGGCTCAAGGGTCTTATTTAATTCATATCTATATTTGTACAGTATCTGCCTAAATGACAATACAACAAAATCCTCATAACAAACTTAGCTCAGGAAAGAGA